GGCACACAAGTAGACTTCACTAAGATACATAATTCTATGTATCAGTTTTTGATTTCGATGAACGGTGTTGCCGTGGTTACTAAAAATATAAATTTCTGTGAAATTCTTTCAAAATGCTACTCCTCCTACAGTTTTGGTCTGATTTCAATATAACTTGGCACACAAGTAGACTACACTAAGATACATAATTCTGTATATCTGTTTTTGATTTCGTTGAACAGTGTTGCCATGGTTACTAAAAACATAAATTTCTGTGAAATTCTTTCAAAATGCTACTCCTCCTACAGTTTTGGTCTGATTTCAATATAACTTGGCACACAAGTAGACTACACTAAAATACATTATTCTGTATATCCGTTTTTGATTTCGTTGAACAGTGTTGCCATGGTTACTAAAAACATAAATTTCTGTGAAATTCTTTCAAAATGCTACTCCTCCTACAGTTTTGGTCTGATTTCAATATAACTTGGCACACAAGTAGATTACACTAAGATACATAATTCTGTGTATCGGTTTTTGATTTTGATGAACGGTGTTGCCGTGGTTACTAAAAATAGAAATTTCTGTGAAATTCTTTCAAAATGCTACTCCTCCTACAGTTTTAGTCTGATTTCAATATAACTTGGCACACAAGTAGACTACACTAAGATACATAATTCTATATATCAGTTTTTGATTTCGATGAACGGTGTTGCCGTGGTTGCTAAAAATAGAAATTTCTGTGAAATTCTTTCAAAATGCTACTCTAAATATAGTTTTAGTCTGATTATAATATAATGTGGCATGCAAGTAGACTACACTAAGAACATAAAGAGACTTAATCAAGGATTATTATTCTATTTATTGCTATTGAAAAGTTTCAATTCCCAACTGCTTTTAAGTACTTTTCTCTTCCTTTGCTATAATTACAAACCAGTAGAGCTTCAGTCTCGACAGAGACTTCTGGTTTTTCTAAAGATTGTGTACAACATTGGGGTTTGGGGTGGGAAGTGTAATGTGTATTGCCTGAGAGTGTGTTATGACACTTAGGTCATGTGTAAAAGTTCAAGGTTTCACAGAAATATTGTATTATTTCCTTACATACCAGAAAGTATATTCGGAGGGAACATGGAAAGTGAAACAAGGGATTGTCTGTCAGAATATCATTTTATCGCTTTCTTGCAGTAATTCTTAGATTTTCTCTCTTCAGACTTACACTCTAATTACATGCAAAGTCTTGAGAGTCTGTAAAAGGAAGAGATTGATTAATTGTGTGCTGTTTAACGTCCATTCAAGAATTTTTTACTAACATAGAAAGTCATCGCATGCCACTGAAGGGCTTCAAATTTAGACCTAAACTTGGCAACTCAGTGAGGTTACAAGAGCTTAACAAGAGGTGAAAGCTGTTATAGGAATCAAACTCAGCACCACGTTTGATACTGTACCATGATACCAGGGGTGATCAAAAAGTTGGCGAACTATTTCTATATTTACAAAACCACAATTCAGATCAGAATGAAATTTGGCACACCTATAGTCATGCACATGTTCTATAGATAACACGTAAAAAGTAATGATTTTCTCCATCATTGTGATGTCACAATGTGAAAATGATGTCAATTCGATATGACCCGTGACAAAAAATGGTTGTTACAGTCTTACTCAAGGAAGGAACGGCTGTAAAGTTTAACAAATAACTTGGAAATTCCTTTAAGGTATCTTATTATAATTTGTACAAGGTTAATGAAGACAGTACTCAATCATAAATTAGATTGACTGTTTTAGTGAAGGGATGGTGGCGTTTAAAAATTATGTTTGTTTTGTAGCCCAGGTTGTGATGGTCACCACTCACCATGCTCTTTCTTGGAAAAGATATTCTTATCCAACCATCCTATTTCCGAGATTTGTTCATTTCTGACATATGGACTGATCTTGTTATAAGAATTTACTTGCATGCTAAGAAATATAAGACACAGAACAATATTATCGGTATAGCTTCTATGAACAGAATACTTTGGAGCATGTCACGTGACTGCCTGGATCATGTGATTGGCGCATGGTCAGAATGGTGGCAGATATGTAGTAAAATCAACAAGGGCTACTTTAAAAAATAATGAACACTAAAACCTAATTTTATTTGTTTTATGAAAGTTATTCAATTTAAGTTTGCAAACTTTTTGATCACTATTTTGATGATTATTATTTGAAGCACCTAAAAAAATATGGAATATGTGGCTTGGAATTAACATGATTAAAATGGGTAGATTCATACTTGCGACCTCTTGGTTGCCAAGTATGTGTAAATTCTAATTCATCATCTGTGCGTCAGCTGCAATGAAGAGTTCAACAATTAAGGTACTATCATTCCAATAACAGCATATCACTTTGCTTGATCGACTGTGGTAAAAATTTCACAAATTGACAACCATATCATCATTCATTGATTGGATGTTCAATGATTTGAATGAAATCATAACTACTCTGCATATAAAAATTGGAATCCAACAATACCCCGATAACACTATTGAATGATTGTTGTTTTCCAGTGTAGCATTTTTAGTCCACGGCAACACGTGGTCAGTCAAAGCTCATGTAGTATCCCCCCTAAAGCATGTGTCACATATTGTGATTTGACCATTTGAAGATAATTTTGTTACGTATGAGAATATTAAAAGCATATGAAATAAGTAAGGCTATACTTTGAAACTATTATGATATATATACTCAACAAAAAAATTCAGATTAAAAACATGATAATCAAAGTTTTCAGTTTAAACTTTATTTTTAAAAGTGATTTTAGAGTGTGTTGTGATAAAAATTAACATGATTGTCCTATATGTTCCAAATTGAAAGTTAAGTAAATGATGTCATTGACATCACGTCCAAATTCTAGGGGCATTCCATCTTAAGCTCTTAAACAATCCATATGTCCTTTGACAGGGCTCTTGATTCTCTAAATCTGGGGCTGATATTCGGCCCCGTTCCCAATGCAAAAAAGGTACCTTTTTTCCCCCAAAAAGGTGTAAATTTCCCAATTTCCTAGCAAAATATTAATTAAAAAATAAAAGTCCATGAAACTTTTAAAGTCGCAAAAAAAAAAACCCAAACACACTTGCAGATGAAAGTGAAACTGTACTACTATTTTATTATTTCGCGTCAAATGTATTCGTAAACTGGTTCGGGGAACCAGATTATTGTTTTTACAAAAATGTGTACCAACTATGAGTGCAGAGTATCTTGTCATGTTGTTTGATAAAAAACTTCATTGTGGTTTCAAAAATAGACATTTTATTTAAACATTAGTAAGCTGCACCTAGAAACATACCCACGTTTCAGCATGTTCAGTCTAGCGCTGTATTGGTAAGCAAAGTTGTCCATGTGATCAAGGAAATTCGGGATTATGTGACTAGCGACTGTCCCTCAGAAAGACATATAACCGTAATACCAAAACTCAAAGATAGTAATGACAAAGCTATTAAATGTACTTTCATAAATAGCTTACGTACCCATGCATGTTTCTTCTGTTCAACTGTTTATTCAAAACCAGAGATAAATTGATGACAAAATGCTAGAAAAGCAAAATTTGAGGATTTTTTAAAATGAATTTTGGTTATCCAACTTTTCCCAAAATGACAATAATTTTCCCAATTTGAATGGCCCGGCCCCAGTCCCAAATAGTGGTGTGAGAGCCCTGTTAATTGCGACATCGCAGCGCTAGTGGATTTCCAATGTATGGACGTTGTGCACAAATACCAACTCCTCTCAGTCTCTATAGCAAACAATTTGTGCACTTTATGCTGATTTCAGCAGTTAGTACAGCAGTTCTGAATCAATTATGCAGGTGCAGAGGGGGGATCTGACGGTCATGTCTGGGTGCGGTGACCCGCGGATGGCCTGTTCTTGGTCTGTCATCCGTCTTCCTAGCTGATGTTTATCAGCTGCAAAGCCGATTGATGTATACCAAATGCAGTTGCAACCTTCAGTTGAATAGCTCTGGTTGGTAGCAACGTTATAACTTTGTTGCGTTCATCTTTGTTTAAGCATTGCATTGCAGCATCAACATTACAATCAAATCTCCAGTATGGGTTTAGTAGGAGTGTTTATTGCTTCTCTAAATACAGAATATCATTGGAAATAGACATTTGATTTACAAGACATCATGTAAAACACTATTGTCATAAACATGATTAATCAAAGGAGAAAATTCAAAACTAGGGGTTTAGAACCCTATATTGTACTTTAAATAGGTCACAGGTATCCTATGATGAAAAAAATAGTTGTTCCATATACTTTTTATACCCCCCGCAAACGAAGTTTAGGGGGGGTATATTGGAATCACCATGTCCGTCTGTCCGTCTGTTCTTACGAGAGGTACATTGTGGGGTAAAATTAACGTATTTTCCAGCAGTGTGGGGTTTTTTGGGTACTGTGGGGTTAACCCCATAATGAAGAGGTCTAATTACGTTCAAAATTACTCTATGAGGTCGAAAAACCTAAAATTAGATTTAACCTCACAAAGACTTTGTCCAAATTTTGGACATGTCCTTAGCCCAAAACGCTCAGACATTCAGAAATCTGCTGTTTAGAGGAGTTCGGTAATTGAATCGAGGAGTTCCGAATACCTGAGCATGCGCATATATTTAAAACTAACTGCGCATGCGCAAAATACGGAAGTAGCTGTGTGGACATTTTGTATTAGCAGTGAGGAAATTCGGAAACACAAAAAGCAAATGCAGTAAGTCTTACTATTTTGTTGCACCACATTGAAAAAAAGCTTTGTAAGTTGTTTGATATGATTCATACGTAGATTATGCAGTTGTAGAATTTATTTAAAGTCAAGGAAAGGACACTTGTAGTCCACATAAACACATACCGATTGAAAACGGGCTTTTGTGAAAAAAATTATAATGATTGAATGCACTGATAGTTCTTTTTTTAATCAGAGGTCTGCAATGAAAATCGACCGATACCCGGGGGTCGGGCTAGTGGTTTTCTGCAAGAGGGTCGCCCCATTGGTCAGTTAAAAAAGATAATATTATTTATACACGTGCAATACATGCAAAGCACACCTGGTACGTATTTTCACTCGTTTTTTGCAACAAAAATCCAAACCATTTAAATTTTCCATATAACATGCTCCATACTGTCAATAAATCTCCATAATTTAATCCGTGTTGGAGTACTACTTGGCTTATTTACTTCAAAATACGATCGTGTTTTTTTTCTTAATTCGAATTTTCTCTATATCAATGGTAATTACATGCAGATATCTCATAACATAAATACATGTGATTCTTCCGATGGGAGACAAAATCTCTGGATTTTTCACGCCTCTTCCGCCCCTTCCGATTAATTTTTAAATCATCCGTGTTTAAATTTTTTTCAAATTGAATATTTTTGGCTTTAATTTTATCCTGTTTCGTAGTATAATTGCTCTCTCTCTCTCTCTCTCTCTCTCTCTCTCTCTCAATTCATTCTAGATACGTACCGATTGTTTATCTACTCTTCACACATTTGTTTACATGTACTTGAAATCGTACCTTAATCTATAGAGAAAAAATCAGATTGGAAAAATGGAATTAATGTCACTGCAATAAATTTTCGCAGCAAGTAGGCTTCCAAGGAATCAACATGGGGTTGTATAATTAGGTTGTAAAATTTAGTGGTATATCAATTTGATAAATGACAATCAATGTTTATAAATGAGTGTAGGACATTTTAATCAGTTGTTAAAATACCCAATATGTCACATTGCTTACACAGTCGCTTGTGTAATTATGTGCCGGATAAAAAAATTCACCTATTAAAGAAATTAAACAAATTACCTTTATATACGTTTATATAACTCTCTTTGTGTTAATGGAAAAAATATAATTGTCCTGTAAGATCAATTTGTACTTATTTTTCAAGATCGACCATTGAAAATTTAAAAGAATTAAATCACAATTAATAGTTTTTCTATAGCTAAACTTAAAGAAATTCAAGCTTAAAGCTTCATTTTGTAATTTCCAATCTTAATTCATCATTACTTTGAATATTTACAGTGAGAGTATGTAACTTAGCTAATACAGGTCTATCAGTATTTTCACACCTGTTAGATTTTGATTCCGTGTTGAAGCTCTAATTGCAACTCTTGTCAAAACAAATGATTTGTATAGCATGATTATCTCGTGAATTTCACCATCAGGAGACGATCGATAGGGATTAGTTACGCTCTGGTGCACTTGACACCTGTGTTGTAGTAGAATGATTTTAAACTGCGTTAATACAAATCTTTGGTCAATTGAATAATTTTTTGTGTGTGTCTGTATGTTAGATAGAAATTCTGACAGCTTTATAAAAATAATATTAAAAAATTACCAGACTTTAAAAACTTCAGCAAAGTAGTTGATCGAGGATTAATTGAAAGGGGGGGGGGGGGTTACACTGCTGATCATTACCTGAACATATTATAGTGAAGTTTTTAAATGAATTTTATTGACACTTACTGAAATAAATTTTTATACTTTATTTAATTCACCATTAAACTGTCTTTTAATTAAAGCTTTTATATTTTTTCTTATTTAAAAAATAGATACTAGATAGTAGTAAGGCACATGTATTTCTTCTTGAATGATTTGAATGTTACAAAGGAACACTCAGAGTTCCCGAAACTAGTCAAAAATATGTCGGACAATTGTCTTGTAAATATTCAAAATTCACCGGACAGTTGTAAAATTTACCGGACATTAATTTTTTGTATGTAAATTTAACATATTATAGGATTGGAAATTGTAACGATATAATAAATGATATGTGTAAATAAAAAGATGGCAGATTTAAAAAAAAAAATTATTGAAATATTTTGTATATGGCCTTTGTATGCAGGATTTGACGTCGCCGAAGGCGTGTGATGACCAACGCTTAATTCATGTATAAATTTATTATGTCCTTTCTGACAGATTTTAAAAATGTTTTTAAAAATAAAATCTGCAACACGACAACTCTTGGTTGATTGTTTGGAAAATATGTTGTTTTCCAGGCTTTTTTCTATTGGATTTTTGTATTTTATGTGCCAGGAAAAATATTACGTAAAATATCAAACTCGTTTTAAAAAGCCTGGTAAAACGTCCGATATTTCTGACTAGTTAAAATTTATTATACAACCTCCATACAGTTAAAAATATGTACTAATGATATAAAGATATGCAAATTTATCATGAAAATGATTTTAAGTGAATTTGTTGTCGTTTTACTACATTCAAGTCAATCCGCTATTTTTAGAAAAGGGGAAAAACGCGCTTGTATTTTAAATGCTATCAAATACATTTAAAAAAATCCAGAAGTTGGTATAATATTATCATGCTAATAGATTAAATTATAGAGAAAATAATAAATGGTAACAAATTGTCTGTAATCAAGCAGAAATAGCAGGCACTCTTGCAACCCTGCAAATTCGTCCTTCAAAACGAAAGTAGATTGTCACATTTTTTTTACTGTCAGAACTACAGAGTGCATATATTTATCATTGAAAATATTTGTTGACAGGGTTTTTAAAACTGTTTTTCCTCCCAGACTTATGGAAATTATTATTTTAATATGTAGCTTTTTATAGTAGACAATCAACGTCTACATTTTATTTAAACAAGATCTGGCGATGCCCTGACGTTTTTTTTTTCATTCCTTTAGTTTTGCATTTGTTTATTGTCAGGACAATTGAATTAAATGATTTTGTTAAGATTATATGCAAAGGTTATACAGTCTGTAAAAAAAAAAAAAAAAATATCGGACATTTTGACCAATAAAATTAAGATTTTACCGGTCCCATTCAAAGTTCACCGGGGATCCCCGGTGGACCGGTGCGTTTCTGGAACTCTGAACACTTATGAACAAAACCTTAAAAATCTAATTTGGAATTCTTTAATTTCATATTTTTTAAATAGGCATGGATTAATATATATATACACACATACAAAGGTTTTGTGAAATTGACATGTTTAATTAAATCAACTGTAGTGGTTATTGCTGTTTATTTATTGACTGACTGGCTACTTCTTGGGCAAACTGGAATAAGAGGCCACCTGTCTTAAGTGGCTAGTTTCTGGACTTCCCAAAGCTTAAAACAAGTTTGACTGTACTTTTTCACCTTTTACCAATATAAGAAAGTAGTTCACAGTACATTACAACTATGCTTTAAATAAATTTCGATGAATTTTAATTAGTAACTCGGAATTTTTGTATGTGATATAAATAAACATTTGCTTCTGTATTCCTTTGTAGAGTTCAGATACTGAAAGTGAACATCAGTGGAACTTTGATGATCTAGGCCGCTCTATTTTTGCAGCAACACCAGCAGGCGTCGGACATTCATAAAGTTGAAAGAACAAACCTATGACTTGAACACACAATTTGTGATCTGAATATAGTTCACAAATTTAAGGAAAGCAACTATCAAAGACATCCAGATTGATGGTTAGTACATGTTATAAGTGCCCATAAAATCAAGACAACAATATTTTTTTACAATAAATTAAAACATAACCTGTAAAAAAAAATTAAATTGAACATTATCATTTAGAAATATATTTTACTGTATTTTTTTTTGACAGGTATACATGAAGTATGAATGAAAGGCTTTTCAGAAGAACAAGCACAATCCCGATTCATTCTTGCCATTGTCTGCTCCAGACGGCGACATTTAGGACCTGACTTACTTTTCAGAAAAAGAAGATGAATCGATTTTTGATAGTTGATCTTAAAAAGATAACATTTTCAGGGGTCGTGGATTGAATGACATTTTCTTGCAATCTCCCATGCAGAGTTGTCGTTCGTTCCTCTCTCAGACACCTCTGCAATGGGCTCACGTCAAGATTTTTGACATAACGTATAAAACTTGATATTTGAAGAATTGTTTCAATTCAAATCAATAGTTCTGGATTGATTTAGTAAATATCTATCTCAAAATTCAGACATAAACATAGAAATTGAATTGTAATGAATTAAAACAAACGCAATATTTCTCGTGTTTAAAACTGTGTATACGCGAGCCAACGACAGAGGTGAATGTATGAGCCGATGGTAGAGAGTGATTTTCTTGATGGGCAACTAGTTTCAAGTATTTGGATGTCTATTCTCAAGTTACTGCAAACCTTAAATTAACTTCTTGATTATTAGTTAAATGTGAGACCGTTTCTTACTTGAAGTAATCATTTTTTGAATTGAGCTATGTAATCTCTGATTACTTATGTTTATGAGTACTGTTCAGCTTTAAGACAAAAGGATCTTTTATGAACATTGCATTCGTCATGGTGAATTTCTATACATTAAGTAACAGTCATAGTTTTTGTCTTTTTTAATTAGCGATCTCATTTTAAATGTGAGAAATAATTATTAAACTGAAATGTTTATTTATGTTGGTTGATTTTTATTTTTTTTGAAAATTGTAAATCAATTGCATGTTGTTGTTTTTTTTCATTTTATTTTAGGGGATGGGAGTGGGGGTGCAGCTCTAAGTTTGAGTATATTTTCCAAAAGGATGTACATCGTTATTTTTGTTTAAATATCAATTTTAAAATGCAAAATGATGAGATATTAGACTACACATTTTTTCTTAAAACTTCATTTAAATTAATATATTTTGTTTAAAATAAGTAGCAACACCATGCAAGTTTTAGAGTTATTTGACAACTCACTATATACTTGTTTTTTTTTTACATTTATGAAGATTGTCTCAAATTTTGAGGGTTTTTTTCTGTGTTCTACATTTATTGACATGTTTCTTATCTGTGTTCATCTTGTCGAGTAACTGAAAAGTTTGATTAAATTTTTTTTTTAAAAATCAGGATCATCTCTTTTATTTATTATTATTAATTTACAAAGAAATTATGTATGCTTTTGATGCATAATGTACACTTCAAATTCATGCATCAGCAGATTCAAAGGGAAAATTCTCATTAGAAATAAGCAGTTAAGATAAAGAGATTATCCAATTAAAAATAGTTTGAAAAATATTTAAAACAAATTTTCAAGTATGTTATCAAAATAGGAAAAAGTATTATGAGTATAGTTTGGTATTTTTAATAGTAAAAAGAAAGGATATGACGTACTGGCAATTGCATCATCTCACTCAGGGTCTTTCCGTCAGAGTTCGGAAAAACAACCTCGAATGTATTAACATCACCTGATGTTAAAGGTTATGCTTTTCTTGTTTTTTTCAAATATAGGATAGAGGAAGTAAGAAGTCCCTTTTATAGTAAGTTTTATGTAATATCATAGCATTGAATAAAATTAAACTCCATATTCCACAGATAAAAGGTCTTCATGCATTTATTTCGAAGATCATGAAAAGGGGGGGGGGGGTTGTTGCCATGGCGTCTAACTAATAGATTCGAGGTCATTTGTCAGCTAGTCAGAAAGGCTCGAGAAGTTGCGATTGAACATAGTGGGGGTTCTTGTTCTTTTATTACCAGTCCCTGGTAGAGTTTTTTGATATTTGAACATACTGGGGTTTTCAAACACTTAAATTCATATGGTTACTGGTATCTGTTACATGAGAATACAGCGGGTTGTTTGTTTAACACTCTGAGGTTACTAAGATGTCTAATATTTTCTATCAGAACATATTGTGGTTCTTTTCTAACACTTTGTGGGGTTAATGTTATCTTTTATCTATATAAGAACATAATGGGGTTGTTACACATTATGGGGTTAGTGTTGTCTATTATCTTTATAAGAGTACTTAGTGGGGTTGTTGTCCTAACACTTTATGGGGTTAGTGTTGTCTATTATCTTTATGAGAGTACATAGTGGGGTTGCTGTCCAAACACTTTATGGGGTTAGTGTTGTCTTTTATATTTATAACAATACATAGTGGGGTTGCTGTCCAAACACTTTATGGGGTTAGTGTTGTCTATTATCTTTATGAGAGTACATAGTGGGGTTGCTGTCCAAACACTTTATGGGGTTTGTGTTGTCTATTATCTTTATGAGAGTACATAGTGGGGTTGCTGTCCAAACACTTTATGGGGTTAGTGTTGTCTATTATCTTTATAAAAATACATAGTGGGGTTGCTGTCCAAACACTTTATGGGGTTAGTGTTGTCTATTATCTTTATGAAAGTACATAGTGGGGTTGCTGTCCAAACACTTTATGGGGTTAGTGTTGTCTATTATCTTTATGAGAGTACTTAGTGGGGTTGCTGTCCAAACACTTTATGGGGTTAGTGTTGTCTATTATCTTTATGAGAGTACATAGTGGAGTTGCTGTCCAAACACTTTATGGGGTTAGTGTTGTCTATTATCTTTATGAAAGTACATAGTGGGGTTGCTGTCCAAACACTTTATGGGGTTAGTGTTGTCTATTATCTTTATGAGAGTACATAGTGGGGTTGCTGTTCAAACACTTTATGGGGTTAGTGTTGTCTATTATCTTTATGAGAGTACATAGTGGAGTTGCTGTCCAAACACTTTATGGGGTTAGTGTTGTCTATTATCTTTATGAGAGTACATAGTGGGGTTGTTGTCCAAACACTTTATGGGGTTAGTGTTGTCTTTTATCTTTATGAGTGTACATAGTGGGGTTGCTGTCCAAACACTTTATGGGGTTAGTGTTGTCTATTATCTATATAAGAACATAGTGGGGTTGCTGTCCAAACACTTTATGGGGTTAGTGTTGTCTATTATCTTTATGGGAGTACATAGTGGGGTTGTTGTCCGAACACTTTATGGGGTTAGTGTTGTCTATTATCTTTATGATAGTACATAGTGGGGTTGCTGTCCAAACACTTTATGGCGTTAGTGTTGTCTATTATCTTCATAAGAATACATAGTGGGGTTATTGTCCAAACACTTAATGGGGTTAGTGTTGTCTATTATCTTTATAAGAGTACATACTGGGGTTGTTTGTCTTATAATTTATGGGGTTAGTGTTGTCTGTTATATCTATATAGCATATTTGGGTTGTTTGTTTAACACTTTCTGGGATATTCTTGTCTATCATCTTCATGTGAAAACATGATGGGTTAATTTACTTTGATGCAACAGTTATCCTCAAAACATTTTTTTGCATTGTTACTGCTAGGCAGTAGTTGAAAAATGTTATTGCTATATCCGTTCTAAGTTCTTCAGATAAACAGTAACAATTTTAAGTACTTATAATTAGTTGCTTGATATAAAGTTGACTTGATATTAAATAATTTATTTTTAACCCCACAAATATAGACCTTTAACCCCACAATATACCATTTGTTTGAATTCCTAATGAAACCTCTCAAGTCACCACTGTACTATTAATAACCCCACAAAGCAAAATTATAACCCCGCACCTTCTGTAAAATGCACAATGTACCTCTCAACTGTATAGCTGTCTGTCTGTCCGTCTGTCTGTCTGTCTGTCTGTAGACGAGATTTTGTCCGGACAATTTCTCAAAAACTATTGGAAGGATTTGTCTGAAAATTTATACACATATTATTCACCATATGAAGGTGTGCACCTGCTATTTTCATCTTGATTGGATGATAATTTTGAATTATACAGGTGTTTTTTCATTTTTATTTTGTGGTCTTGTGCAGACCGTTTCTCACAAACTATTGCAAGGATTTATCTGAAAATTTGCACACTTATTATTCACCATATGAAGGTGTGCACCTGGAATTTTCAACTTTGTTTATTTTTCTGCATTTTACAGGTTTTACTTTTTATTTAAATTGACTTGTTCATTTTGGGCTCTTTTATAAGGTTTGAGAGATAGAATCTAGAATATCTCTACAAAAATGTGAACTAGTACAGCTTAAAACAACTCATTAAAACTAAAAAAAAAGAAACATCATCAAGTGTTTAAAACAGTTTTTACATTACACAGAAGATAATGTAAATTCATTTGTCTCTTGGGAATAATGACTGGACATGCATCCAGTTAAAGATAAATTAATGAGTTTGGTGTTGGAGGTTGTTAAGGCATATCTCTTATCAAGCCTGTGTGTGTTATCAAATCTCCAGGGAATAAGGCACAAGAATTAAAGATCTCTCTTCACTTATTCTCTTAATTGTAATTTATTGTCTGTCAAAGCACTTCATTACTGGATAACCAGCTTTTTATTTTCAAAATGAATTTGATATATCAAGATTAATTTGATTTTGTATAATGTTTTTTTTCAACAATTAGTTTGCAGAGTGTCATGACACATAATTGCAATATATTTCTTTAATGCAGAAATTAAAAAAATGTTACGATTGAATTACAATGTATTAGTATTGATGTTTCATTTGGTTGCACTTTTGTTTCACTCATTAAGAAACATAATGAGCACTTATATTTTACTGCAAATTTTTGTTAGTAGATAGTGAACACCTCTAGATCCATAAAGTATTTTTGAATTGGCACCTTCTCTGAAAAACCCAGCGGGGGGTATTTGTCCCTATTGGACAGTTCTAGTTCAAAATGTCTTTGATGAGTAAAAAAATATGTGTTTCTTTTTTTGTTGAGTATATATTATACATTTATTGCATGATTGTGAGGGAAATATGAAGACTTATTCAGCCAAGAAAAATCATATTCCCCAAGGGCTTTGCCTGAGGGGTATACAATATTTCTTGGCTGAAAAAGTCTTCATGTTTCCCGAAAATCCATGCAATAAATTGTTTATTATACCGAAGTAAGCAAGAACTTTGAAATAAACATGAACTTTGGAGTTTAGCACCGCTCTCAAATTCACATTCATGATTTTTTAGGTAAAGTTACTCATCACTTATCATCAATTTTGTGACGCAAACCAGGCTGTTGAGACGTCTACTTCTCTAGGGATTTTTCTTTCAAGGAACAATAACTATGGCGAGAAAATGCACTAGGTCTCCGAAGAGGTGGAATATGATGAAAAGACCGTGAAATATGAAGCCTTATGGCCCGATCACGTGATAATCTAGAAGCAATGAGGTAAGGCATTGTGTAGTAAAATTATAATGAGATTTTATAGATATATCACATGGCTTCGAGGGTGACATACCAGAATATTTGCCCCTCGGTGACAGGAAAGCCCTGGAGTGTTATGTCACCCTCTGCCTTCGGCATCAGGTGACATAACACTCCAGGGCTTTCCTGTCACCGAGGGGCAAATATTCTGGTAAAATCGCCTGAGAAGCCATGTGGTATATGTTATATGACATTTTTAGCTCACCTCAACGAAGTTGGGGGAGCTTATGTGATACCCTCGGCGTCGGCGTCGGTGTCGGCGTCTCGGGTTAAGGTTAAGTTTTTTGGAGCAGTTTTCTTTTTAAGTACTTCTATGTCCTATATTGATTAGACATGCATGGAAGATGGTTCTAGT